ATCACTACGATGTGGTTACGTGATAATATTTACATCGCATAATGATCGCAGCGATATCGCAGAGATATCGATCTAATCAATGTCGATTAAATACAGTTACGACTAACTTAATGACTTCTAATCTATTTTTTATCAAAATATCGTAATGATATCGTAATGATATCATTGCGATATCTAATCAATATCGATTGTAAACTCCAAGTTTCAGCAAAGTTATTAATTACTTCAAAACGTACATAATAATTTGGACTGAAATTATAATACATGATAGTTTATGGTATAAATAAACAATGACGTAATTGTTATTTTATTTATTGACAAATTAGGATTTTGTACTACTTTGCACCATGTATGATTTAACGGATGCTAAATGTAACAAGATTATTGGTCTATTTAAAGGTGGCGCCACCAGATAAAAAATTGTTAAAATGTTTGGCTTTTCTAAAACAGCAGTTTACCGAACTATTCAAATCTTTTGTGAAGGAAAAAGTCTTGAAACTCAGCCACGAAGTGGTCGCCCTAAACTTTTAAATTGTGAACACCAAAAAACATTAAAAAAAATTGTTAAAAAAAATAATCATCAATCAGCTGAACAAATAAAAAATAATTTTCAAGAGAAAACTGAACTGCAAGTTTCTACTAAGACTATAAGGAGAAAGGAGAAATTTGCATGAACTTAATATTTTTTCACGTATTCTAGCATTCAAACCTCTTCTTAACAATAAACAAAAAGAAATCATTTAAACTGGTGTATTGAAAGGAAAGGCTAGTTCATTAAAAAATAGAAGTCAGTTATTTGGAGTGATGAAAGCCACTTTACTATATTTAAAAATGATGGTCCAGGTCGTGTTTGGAGAACTCCTGGAATAAGATTTAATATTCAAAACATGGTTCCTTCAATTAAACATGGTGGTGGAGGAGTAATGATGTGGGGTTGTTTTTCAGGAAAGGGGATAAGACCACTTGTGAAAGTCAATGGAAAAATGAACCATTATGACTATATTCAAATACTTGAAACACATTTGCTTCCTTTTATTGATAATAATTATAATGGACGAGGGTATTTATTCCAGGATGACAATGCTCCAGTTCATACCACTAAAAACGTTAAAAAATGGATAGAAACAAAAAAGGTCAAAATTTTGGAAGATTGGCCAAATCAATCACCTGACCTAAATCCAATTGAATACCTGATGGTCAGAGCTGGAAAGGCACATTAGAAAACATCCTAAACCTGCAAAAAATTTGAATGAATTGGAGTGTACTTTGCATGAAGAATGAAATCAAATCCCTAATAATACATTAATTAATTTAATTGAAAGTATGCCACGCAGAGTTGAAGCGTGTATTAAGAATAATGGCTGGCTAACTAAATATTAGTTTTGGATATGATTTAACTAATTATAGTTAAAATTTTAACCCCACTTATTATATATGTACGTTTTTGAGTAATTAATAAATATAGTTTCCACCTACTTTTGTCCAAGTACTAGTGTATATTATTATACAATTAGGTTGCTATCTAATAATCCAATTTGCATAAACTTTTTTTTGTTTTGTGACCCCATTTATGCTTTATAAAATAAAAAAAAATTCATTGAAATTGGACTGCTAGATGGTGAAATAATTGCAAAAAAGCTCGTTAATAAATAAATTACCATATATTATATATATATTATAATACAATTATTTCACTATCCAATAATCCAATTTGCATAAACTTTTTTTTTGTTTTGTAGACCTCTTTATGCTTTACAAAACAAAAAAAATCATTAAAATTGAACTGCTATATAGTAAATTAATTGCAAAAAAACTTTTTAATAAATAAATTACTATATAATATATATATATTATAATAATACAATTATTTTACTATCTAATAATTCAATTTACATAAACTTTTTTTTTATTTTGTAGCTCTTTTTATACTTTATAAAACAAATAAAATTGGACTTTTAGATGGTAAAGATAATTGCAAAAAAAGCTTCTTAATAAACAAATTATATATTATTTATTATAAAAAATATACTATTATCATAAAAGGAGGTCGTGACTTGTAAAAATTTATTTTTTACAAATAAAACTTTTTCGCCAATACATAAAACTTTCAAGTTACATATAGTATGTGTATTTTAGCCTGCTGTGCAAGTTTACTTAGTGCGCAACATGGGGTTTTAAACACTATTTTTGACTTATTTGAATTTTTTCATTTTCGTCATCCATTTTTGAATATGATTGGCAAAGATTATTCATTCATATGTAAAGTCAAAAACAGTGTTTAAAACCAGCTTTTTTTCACTAAATAAACTTGTAAAGCAAGTCAAAATACACTTATTCTATAACTTTCATACTTACATTAATCTTAGTTCATAAAAAAATGGCTTATTCATAAAATGTCAAGTCATATAATTTAGACAACCTCCATAAAAGGTATATTGTGATATCTGATTGCAGGACCTGACCCCCACCCATCCACTAAATTACGTAATTTTTGGCACACCCTTATATATCTAACTTTGAATTCTTTACTTTTAGTTAAAAAATTTAAATCATTTTTTTTATTAAGAAGTTTATCAAACGCATTTTTTGTATACTTTTTTATACTATTAGTATTTTCTAAAGGTGGTATAAGATTTTCTGGTGATGTAAGATTTTTTATATCAATTATATCAATATAGTTATCTTCAGATTGTAAACGTATTTCTATGGTTCTTTCAGTTGACATATTTAGAAATAATATCTAAACTTCAAAGTGTTTCTTTGTTAATTTTTTTTTTTTTGTCTTAGAATAAAAAAAATGTTTTTTAAAGTAGTACAGTAATACTAAATATTTATATGTATAACATAAATATTAATTATTATCAGATAATCCAGATAATTTAAAATTTATTCATTTATAAATTCTTAAATCTAGATATCCAGTTAAAATTAATCAGATACAAATTTGAATAATAGGATAATATGGATAAATCCTAGGATTTTATCTGTTTAAGGAAAGCTTTAGTTTTGAGAAAAATATATCAGTATATCAAATTATCGTTACATATACTATCATTAGTGAATCATAATGCGGACTAAAATCAAATTCTCGCCAGCATTATGCAAACTCTAAATAGCTAATATATTAAAATATCATGTGATTTGGATAAACTTTTATGTTAATTCTGGCCAAATTTATAGTATTAGTCTGAATTATTAATACCAATATAACCTAAAGTATCAGTACATCTTACTATGTATTAATTATAAAGAGGTAAAGAAAAGTATTGGTACATGTTACATCTACATCATGAAACTATATATAATATTGGTACAATAAAGTTGTTTTATTAATTATGAAACAAGTTATAGAAAATTTATTAGTACAGATAATTATTGGTATATAGGATATTAATACATAGAAATCTGATTATAGATAGCTCCTATTTTGAATATTAAGTATACAAAAAAAAAAACAAAATCAAAAATATATTACTATATATTATGAACTAGTACTCTAAGTATTTTGCAAATTTTAGAGGTTTATTTTCCTTTTTTTTATAATTTACATTCTTATTTTCTTTATGTTTACTGAGTAAATAATCCATTTACTTATATCCTTTTATTTTTTTTTTTAACAGAAAAAATCTTAAAAAAATTGACTCACTTTACCATTATCCTTATTATCAAAAAAATGAAAATTGAATAATATTGAAAATACTATGTCACTCTTTCATCTCTTCCTTACCATATGAACTTTTCATTAAATATAATTAAGGTTATAGAGTTAGCTATGCATTAAATGGATGTAGAAATTATACATTAGAGATCAATAAGATTATGCAAAAATTCTAAACATTTACACATTGATTTCAAATGTGCTATTAATATACCTTAATATATTGAATATGATATTTGTTAATTGGCTTAAATACACCCATAATATTGAAATCACAGGACAATGGCACTTAAAATTTATGGATAATGCTGAAGATTTACAACATTTATTTTATGACTTTATAATAAAATGTTCAAATCAAAATAAGCCAATTGCATTAATAAAATTGATAGTAATAGCATCTTACTTAATGTCCTATATATATATGTGACTTAAAATGACTTGCATAAATTTGCATAACATAAATAATATAGTTAATATAAAAATTAACATAAGACAAATTTTATTATATAAAAAATTTGAAATTCAACTCGACTTAATTCGTGAGGAACACTAATCTTACTTAGTATTTCTCACAAGTCAAGTTAAGTTGAATTTTAAATCAATTTTTTATATGATAAAATTTGGCTTATGCTAATTTTTATAATACTTTAACTATATTATTTATGTTATGCAAGTCTATGCAAATTATTTTAAATTGCATATGTGAGACTAAGGTTGCCTGCCTAAACCTCTCCAAAATTCTATGATTAGTTTCTTCAAAATTTTACTATAGTTTTATTATAGTTTTAGCAAGATTTCAGCAGTTTCAGCATTTATAATAAGTTTCGTCAAGTTTCACTTTTCTCCAGAGTTTTGCCAACTTTTTAATAAGACTTTCATATAGTTTTGGCAAAGTTTTGCCATTTTGCCATTTTGCCAACTTGCCAAAACTCCCTAGTTTTTCCAGCAACTTTATGTGAAATACTAAATTTTTACTCCACTTTGAATAAACATTTCTTTATGAACTTTAAAATATGTTTAGCAACTTCAGCCTACAGAAATATGGATCATACATTTTTCTTGTGAAAATAATCTTTTATCTTCATTATATTAGCCTAGCAAAAAGTTCCAAAAAAAAGGTTTTAATATTATATATTTTTGGTATAATGAAGAATTCAAGATTTTCCAATAATACTAATATCCTTAAAGAGATTTCTGATTATCAAATCTTTTTTAAAAATTTTTTTTTTTTTTTTTAATAAAATTTAAAATTCTATATTAAATTCTTTGGGATATCCAGTTGCAAATTTTGATTGATCAATTGTAAATTATACTAATTAAAATTATTTTTTTGATATGGATAGTAAATCTAAATTTTTACTAATTATACATCAGTTATAATCAGTTTCTAATTTTATTGATCTTTATATTTTTTTAATAAATTTTTATTAATTGATATACATAATACTTTTTTTTTTTATATTTTGCAGCTAATATATATCATTTTACTTAATTTGATAAATATTAAAAAGTTCTTTTTATTTAATAATAGGATGAGTATTATATTTCTTTATAACTTAATTTTGACATTTTCTTCCTTATAATATATAATATTATAATAAAAGAAAATAATTAAAGTATAGACTACTTTATTTAACTAATTCTTATATATTAATTTGAAAAGTATATGAAAATAAGTGCTGTATATTGATTAAACTAACTTATTATAGTATAAATTAACTAATAGCCAGTGGAAATTAACTAAACTAATTTTTTATATTAAATTTAAAAAAGTATATGAAAAACTACTGTACATTAAATTAAACTAACTAAATATAGACTAAATTAACTAAAATATGTACTGATAAAACCTTATCTATTATTAAGATAAGTCACTCTATAGCCTAAGAGGATCCCAGAAACTCTATAGATAGGTTGCAGTTAAAATGGGTAAAGTCATAAGAAAATATTTTGCAAATCATTACTAAAAATGGCTAAATTATATACTTAAAAGGAAGGTGATACCAATTTTGTTATGATTTTTTTCCTTTTTTGACCATCTATCCAATAGAAGTTTGGGTAAAGTTCATATAAAAAATTCAATTTTTTAGACCAACCTTTATATATAGTTTCCGGGGTCCTGGCCTAAGGTAAGATTTACATATAAAATTCTTTAAAAATCTTACTAAAAAAGAAATTTTATATTACATTGTTATGATTTTTTCCTTTTTAGTTAATTAACTAATAGAATTTAAGCAAATCCTAAAATAAAGTTTCATATAAAAGTAAAATTTCTACTAGTAATATATCTTAGTAGTAGGTAAAGTTCTGTACTAATTTTAATTAATTTTTTATATAAATTAATAAAGTATAAAAAGTATTGCATATTGAATTAAACTAACTAAATAAAGTCTATAGCTAAAAATACATACCAATATAATTAGTGGAAAAAAATACTATTAAAAAAAAAATATTATTTAATTTTTTAAATAAAATAAATATTTCATTTATATAAATATTCAATAATTAAAAATGCCTTAAACTTGTAAATGTAAAAGGATAAATCTTTTCACAAAAAACCTAAAACCAAATATGAAATATACAGTATATATATACATATATATTATAAATGAAATAATTATCTTAAAATAACAATTCAAATTGTTAACTATGAATGAGACCATAGATATAAATGTGAAAAAAGTGATTAGTCAATGACTAATCACAATAGAAGAACTAAAATGTCTCTTCTTGTATGTCAGAAATTCTTCAAAATATGCTCTTAAGAAGTTAATATAATAAATAATCAAGTGTAATAGTTAAAGGTTTAGAATAGTTAAGAATTAGACTTAGATAATTTGGAGATTTTAGAAACTAGTTTTTTAATAGAATAGAAAGGTTGGTCAATTCATTCAAAAAAAAAAAGAAACAAGTAATTATTCCTTTTTTTTTTATTTCAGTTTCAATTGACAAATATCAATGATATTTAACTGAAGTATTATAATAATAATTTGTTAGACAAGGTATTTCTAAGATAACTTTATTGTAAAAAAAAGATATTGATGATTTTATTAATAAAGAAAAAACAATTATTATGTTATGATGCTAGTTGAACGCTATAAAAATTAATGATTTAAAAAGAAAAAATTTGTTGATTTATTTGAATAATTTAATTTAAAAAGCTATAATTTTTAATTATAATATCAGAGATCCGCCAAAAAGAAGAAAATTTTGGATATAATAACAAAAAATTTAGCAGTACCATTTAGAAATAGCTGAAATTTCACTAATAATTTACAATTATAAAAATTTGGTTAGATAATAACATTTTTATTAAAATATAACAAATTTTATTATAATACTGCATTTTACAATAATTGTTTATAAATTTTTATTATTTGCATTTTTATCAGTTATTTCTATTACAATGTATTATTGCAATGAAAATTGCTATTACAATTATTACAATAATTAAATAAAATTTGATTTATCTATCAAATAATAAGTTTTATTGAATATTATCCAATAATTTAATAAAATATTTTTAATTAATTTTTTCACCTAATCTTTTACTTTGGCTACCAATTTGTTAATACTTTTATTACAATTTGAAGTTATTCTGAAACTATTTATTGACGATAAGTTGACAAATTTTACAAATTGTAAAAATTTTACCAAAATAACATGCTGTCATTAGGGTTGTGAAAGTTATGTTACATAGGTTATAATACATGTAACTTACGCTATAAGTTACATCGACCCCTTGTAACTTACATCTTATATAATATTATAAAATTGATTCCTATTGGTATAAAATTAGCATATCATGTGATCAAAATTTCCTAAATAAAATTTATAAAACGAAACACTTTATCTACTTTATTTATTTTTTCAAGAAATTAATTACATTTACAATATTATATTTAAAAAATTAATCTTGAAATTCATTTAATTCTTCATCCAATAATCCTTCCAAATCTGAATAGGATTGAAAATCTAAATCAGAAAAATCAGATTCAACGTCAATTTCTTGTTCATTATTACCTTTGGCAACTTCTCTTATAACTTTCTTTTGCAATACTTTC